TTCTTTTATATCATATCTTCTCTTTCTTTTATAACCTACACTCTTCGTTCATTCACATTGCTCATACCTACATTCACTTTCTCTCTCTTCTCGTTCACCCTTCATTCCTACTTTCCCTCAAATCTATTTCCCTTTCATCCTGTATTTCTTACTCACCCCTAACTCTCTTAATCATTTCTCATCTGTCTCTTGTCGTTTCTTCTCTCAATTTTCATTACCCCTAAACACCCTCTTCTCAATCGTCACTTCTTCTCGTTGTAATTTCTACACCAACATCCGCTTCTTTATATCACTCTCATTCCATACATTAACCTTTCTCACAGCCTCTTCCAGTCCTCATTCGATCTCTCTGTCACCATTCTTTTCGGTTTCTTTTTCCGTCAATCATCCTATTAATTGATAGTCTCATTTTGAAACGATCGCACACAAAACGAGTGCACCATCACCTCACTCACTCACTCTCTCACTCTTCCTCTCACTACCCCACTAATATATTTTCCATATCCCTTTTATTTTTCAGAACTAATTCGTAATTTATTTTCTCCTTCTACGAAGTGTTCTCTTAGCTTTCACTGACTTCGAAATGTTTTTACTTTTTAATTCTTATAACCGTTTTTTCTTTCACCTACTCTAGTTCGCATTATCATTTTTTCTATCAGATCTCTCCTTTATCAGAATAATAATCCTTTCTGATAAAACCCTTTATCTATTCTATCAGAATAAGTGCACGGCTTTCACTTACTTTGGCCATCACCTCTTCTTGCTCTATCATCCATTTCTTATCTTAATTAATCCAAAAAGTTTCCGATGCAAAGTTATTCAAAATTTAAATGTTCCGAAACACGTGGGCGGGAAATTTGTTTCTGATTTACCCCACGAAACACGAGATGAAAATGGAGCTCCACTCGCGTTTCAGGATCAGAGACTCATCGCTAATTGCAGGTTCAGAGATACATCTCTTATTGCAGGTTCGGAGGCTCGTCTCTAATTGCAGGTTCAGAGACACATCTCTTATTGCAGGTTCGGAGGCTCGCCTCTAATTGCAGGTTCAGAGACACATCTCTTATTGCAGGTTCGGAGGCTCTCTAATTGCAGGTTCAGAGACACATCTCTTATTGCAGGTTCGGAGGCTCGCCTCTAATTGCAGGTTCAGAGACATCCGTAATTGCAGGTTCAGAGACTCATCCGTTATTGCATATTCAGAGACTATCCTCGCAATGCAGGTTGAGCGGCTCGTCTCTCAATACAGGTTGAGAGACTTCTTCCTGCCTTTCGTCCCAGCCTCGTCTCAAATTACCGACCCAGCCTCGTCTATAACTGAAGTCCCGCAGTCTCGTCTCTAATTGCCGTCCTAGCCTCATTTGTGGCTGCCGTCCCGGCTTCTTCTTTAATTCCCGTCTCAACTTCGTCCCTTCCCTTATTGCCATCCTTGCCTCGTCACTAATTCCCGTCCCAGTCTCATCACTAATTACAGTCCCAGCCCTGTCTCCTATTGACGTCCCAGCTTCATCCCTCATTAACGTCCCAGCATCGTCACTCATTACTGTCCCAGCCTCGTCCGCAGTAGCTGTCCCAGCCACGTCCTTTAAGCTCGTCATCGTCTCTTGTAGCACGAGGAGTCTTAATGAACGCAGCGCCTGTCTCAGTCCTCAGCACCCGCGCCTAAACGTCAATAATTCAGTGGCTATCTGCTGATGTGCAGGCTATATGCTGATGTGCAGGCTATCTGGTGATGTGCAGGCTATCTGTTGATGGTCTGCTGATGTGCAGGCTATCTGCTGATGTACAGGCTATCTGCTGATGCGCAGGCTATCTGCTGATGCGCAGGCTATCTGCTGATGTGCAGGCTATCTGCTGATGCGCAGGCTATCTGCTGATGCGCAGGCTATCTGCTGATGCGCACGCTATCTGCTGATGTGCAGGCTGTCTGCCGTTGCGCAGGCTATCTGCTGATACACCATGCCATTTTGCGACATTAATAAATGTATGATTTTATCGCCATTTTGTGATGGAAATAACTTTAAAATGTAAATAATTTTGTGATGCACCCGCCATCTTGTGATGTCAATAATTATGTAATGCCCCACAATTTTGAGATGCAAATTGATGTCTAAAATCTTTAAAATTGATATCATTATTCACAGAAAACGGCCACCAATTACAGTTATATGGCCTCAATTTAATTTTGTTCATCTCATTTGGTATGCTGCCGATATGAATTTGCGGGTTAAAATTTTAAAATATCGGTCCTTCAAAAAAATAAAAAACGAACTTATTGGCTAACTAGGAATTTCGAGCAAACTTTTGAATTATATTGAGATTCGTTCTGATTAATTTATATTAAGTTTTCACTATTTGTTATTTCACTGTTATTTTTTTGCATTACCAAGAGGACGTCATCAAAATTAAGAGGGTGCTTTTGGTTAGCTTGCTTGAAGTCTTGCTTAAAAATATGTATCCTCTGACAGTATTTAGGTCCCTTTCTTAATCTTGCTTACCACCTGAGAAACTAGGAAAAACTGCCAATTCACTTTTTTCAAGTCAGGGTCGGGCAAAAAGCTTAACTGGAATCTATTTCATTGCAAACGTCAAGGCACTCCAGCCAACCGCCCACCCCACTTTTCTGCGCCAGATCACATAGCGGAGCTGCAAAATTGGCCTCGGCTTTGCTGCCTGGTCTCGAGAGACGCTCACGTCTCAGCCATGAACCTCGACTCGGCAACTTGATGCTGGTGCAGAGCACACGTCTCAGCCATGCATCTCGACTTGGAAACTTGATGCTGGTACAGAGCACACTTCTCAGCCATGCATCTCGACTCGGCAACTTGATGCTGGTGCAGAGCTCACGTCTCAGCCATGAACATCGACTCGGCAACTTGATGCTGGTGCAGAGCTCACGTCTCAGCCATGAACATCGACTCGGCAACTTGATGCTGGTATACAGAGCACACGTCTCAGCCATGAACCTCGACTCGGCAACTTGATGCTGGTGCAGAGCACACGTCTCAGCCATGCACCTCGACTCGGCAACTTGATGCTGGTGCAGAGCACACTTCTCAGCCATGAACCTCGACCCGCTAACTTTATGCTGGCTAGCCCATTCAGTTGTATGTACACATCCTAGCCACGAACCTTGAATTCTTAACTTGAGTTCAGTGAGTTATACACATCGCTGTCGTAAACTTTGACAGACCTCCATGACACACAGGGTGCTATGGGACGAAGATGTTTAGTTATTTATCGAGACTTGCTGGCTCGGTGTTGCGTGCTCTTTCTGCTGACATTTATACAGGGTTGCTATCTGTTATATGTTATTTATTCAACAACCGTCCAATATCGATTCAGATTGTAGGCCATCGTCTTGATTCCGAGCAACCAAAGATGCATGAGCACAAATCTGAAAAGCGAGGTCGTGATGTGACACTGCATTTTGTGACTCGGTCAACACCAAAGAGATTGAAATCAATTTAGAAGGCTTACTTCACCAAGGCAAACTTCCTTTCATAAAAAAAACTTTACAATTGTGAGGTATAAGTTAGGATTAACACTGTGCAAATTGAAGTTCAAATTTATGTACTGACATGGATCTCACTAAATCAATATGCTCTCAATAAATAAGTTTGAACGAAGATATACATGAAAAGTAGATAATAATGACTATTGAAGTTTGGCTTTTGGAACACAGTTGATACATGATAGATTCCACCAATAATGAATGTACTACAGACATCCGATCCAGAGTTTGTGAGTTGTTGACATAGATTTTATTGACGCCTTGCACAATAATTGTGGTATTGAATAAGTGAAGGATAACCTGGTGTAGATTTTCAATGTAAATTAGAAATTATGTCACAGTCCGCTATATAACATCTGAGTACGCGCGGGTTTTAATTGCAATTTGTAAAATATCTATTGCATTGTTAAAAAATCGTCGAGACACAACAATATTAAGGAAAGTTAATAGATTTTTTTAAAAACTACATTTTGAGTTCATAACTTGCAATTAACGCAATTTTCTGGGACAATACAGTCATTCCGTTCCGGACTTTAGCTCCCAGAACACACAATTTCTTGACTGAAATGCATTCGTTTCCGGAGAATTGAACTTTCTAATCCCCGAGCTTGAAGTCCGGATCTGTTTTGGTATTACAGTAACGTTGCTTGCCGTTTGCCAAAGAGAATTACTCACTTGATCTGAACTCGAGCAAACACCGAAGGGAAAACCAGCAAGTGCAAGAGAGTCTGAGCTCTTTACCAGAGCGTCTGATTTTCTCGAGAAATTGGCTTGACTCCGACAAACGTGTTTCTGAATTGCATCCAATTTGCTGGCCTGTTTTTTTGCACATTTTCGGGGAACAGGAAGTCCAGCTCCTACTTTTGTGTAATACAGGGAAGTTTTTGGGGTAATAGGCATGCCCGCCTGGCAAATGGAAGTGCACTCTCGAGAACTGAGCCGCAAATTTTACCCTTTACTTCACACTGTGGTCCAGGCATGGTCTCCCGCGTGATGAGTTGACACTTATTGCGAGCAAAGGACTTCAAAATACGTAGATACATGTATATCCGGCGTAAATTAGGAATGTTTTGCGTGTGTGGATGTTACAAAAGTTTGCTAAAAGATATAAACTACAACTATCTAGTAAAAGATGTGGAATATCATTCATAGCAAGCAAAGGACTTCAAAATACGTAGATCTCCGCCGATCATTAAGAATATTTTGCGTGTGTGGATGTCACAAAAGTTGGCTAAAAGATATAAACTACAGTTATCTAATATAACATGTGGAATACCTTCTTAGCAATGACACGAATTTGTGAATATTTAAGAGGTTTCTAGTCAGAACTTTAATTTAAATGTATATACAACCAAATTTATATGAGTAGTACTGCATAAAGGCTACCAGCCGTCCAGCTGCACCGCACAGCATCAAGGCTACCAGCCGTCCAGCTGCACCGCACAGCATCAAGGCTCCCAACCGTCCAGCTGCACCACACAGCATCATGGCTACCAGCTGTCCAGCTGCACCGCACAGCATCAAGGCTCCCAACCGTCCAGCTGCACCACACAGCGTCAAGGCTACCAGCCGTCCAGCTGCACCGCACAGCATCAAGGCTCCCAACCGTCCAGCTGCACCGCACAGCATCAAGTCTATCAGCCGTCCAGCTGCACCGCACAGCATCAAGGCTACCAGCCGTCCAGCTGCACCGCACAGCATCAAGTCCACCAGCCGTCCAGTAGCACCGCACAGCATCAAGTCTTCCAGCCGTCCAGCTGCACCGCACAGCATCAAGGCCTTCCCACTGCAACGCACAGCATCAAGTCTTCCAGCCGTCCAGCTGCACTGCATAGCATCAAGACTACCAGCCGTCCCACTGCACCGCCCAAATGAACAGCACAATCCATGCATTGCCAACATTTCCTGGCTGCACAAGACTCCTTAATTTCAATTTATGCCTCAAGTTTAGTCGGTTTGTTCGAGTTTCTTTCGGTAACTTCTGACGCCGATGAAAACTTGGCTTACAAATCAGCCGCTTTGAAAGGTTCGGGTTCAATTTCCCAGGTCACGCTCTCTCAAAATATGATTAATTTCGCGCGCCGAACTCGATACTTTATTGGAGAGTTTTTTGCCATTGGAAAGTCAGCGAAAGATGCCAGAAACTTTGTATATTTGACTGTTCCTTTGGTACTTCATGTTGAATTTAATTGATTGAAATAACTTCATCGATATCGAAATTTTTCAACCGTGCACGTGATGATTTTGATCAGACCAGAGATTAGAGTAATTTTTAATTGGTATTATTCAAGTTATAACTCAGTTTATTGATGGCCTTAGTTGCGTTGAATGAAGAACTCTGCATTTTAATTCTGTGCTAGGCAGTAATTGCGATTTTTCGGTAATGTTCGAATTTTCAAACTAACATATATTTTTATAGTTGCCTATATTATTCAAATTTGGACTATTACATAACAGTCACATGTAAAACAACAATGCCGATTTCCGCGATGTAGCATCGACAATAAATAATAAATAATAATAAATCCAAACTTATGGGTCATTATCAAAGTTAAAATAATAGTATACATTCAGTTAATAATTTTGATTAATTAAGCAATTTAATTCGGTCTAATTGTTCTTCGACAAACAAGAATCCTATGTAACCTCTTAGAATCGTATGTAACTAGCGGACTTGCAGTTGTAACTAGAGTGGTTGTAACTAGTAGTGCTGACATGGTTAAAATCTCGTATCTCGGTCACGTTATTTCTTGTTATCCTTGGTAGGTGTTTCGGACTTAGCAGTCCCAGGCCACGTTGGAGCGCTGCCTCATGCTTCATTACGGCACTCGTATTAAAAACATTCCTTTTCGTTTTGTATATTGTTTTCTGCATAGCAAAAAAATGATTATATATTATCCAGGCTATTTTCTGCATATCGAAAAATAGAATATTATCGAGTTTAATAATATATAATTAGTTTAGGAATATATCATATGCGAAAGAATCTGACAAACAAGACCAAATAAATTATTTCTGGAGGGAAGCAATATAAGTGGTAATTAGTTTAAAATGGGTATATAGTTTGTAATGGTTAAAGTCACATGTAAAATTATATTGATTGATTTCATTTCAGCGCAGACAATGATATTTCTGAATACTGAAATTTGTAGAAAATTTTCGGTGTTAGAAATAAAGATTATCTGTACAAATCATATAAATCTACGGATTTTTACACCAAACATTAAGATAACCATGTAGGAGCAGCTTTGATTAGAATATTACGCATATTGATATATTTGTGATGAGAAAATTCCTTCAGTGACAATCATCAATGAATTTGTCCCCGCATCGCCGTACAGTCCGATGAAAAAGGTGAAACCCTACTTTTATTTCTCGTTTATTTTACGATCTATTTTGAGGCAGTGAAATCCTTCCTAATGAATGGAAAAGATAAAAAAAGCGAGCGATTTTCAGGCAAGTAATTCATTAGTGCTAATTTGATTTCCAGTTTAGATCGCCAGAATTATCACGAGTTTTACAGCGGTGGACATTTTACACGGCCGGCGAGTCGCCTTGTTTGAGAAAATAAAGATTTTATCGACGGTACTTGACTGGCATGCGGGCAAGAGTAGATTTTGTGCTGCTGAATTAGTTCAATTTTTCGAGAAGTGCAACGAATTTTAACTCATTCGATATATTTCTTTTGAAAAGGCATCATTGAAAAAACTCTAAATGCATATACTATAGTCCTAGCACATTAATGAAGTAATTAAAAATGCATGCATGCTCGTATGAAAGAGTTAAATCAGTAGCCAATCCTCCTGAAAGGAGAGGCTTAGTAATCGGACGCATTAATCCTCAATTTCTAATTTGAAGCATAAATATATAATAATATTGCAACTTTAAACACGGTACAAATTTTTACGAAAGAACTAGATCAGTGGTTCCCAAACTTTTTCAGGCCAGCGCCCCCTTTGGCTCCCTATATGAATTTCTAGCGCCCCCCACAGACACATTTACATATAAAATCATGCGTCTCTTACTATAAAATTTAGTTCGCTGCAATTTTAAAAGATAAAGGTTAAACACAAATATGTATTTCACAAATAGGACCACTTTTAGTGAACCAATGTGTTTTTCAGCTGTTTTAACCGTTTCAGCACTAGAAACCTAGGACGTCTCGGGCAAATTTACGGCCGGACTCGTGGCCGGTCTCACGACCAATTTCCAAATTCAGTTATCAAGGAATATCTCCCAAACTACGTAATGAACGCAGCTCAATAAAACTCGGAACATGTATTCATCAGAACGTAACGGTGACGTTTAGCTTGCGAAAATTTTTTAAATATCACCTTCATTCGTGAGTTATATTGCGATACAGACCGAAATTCGCAGTGATCAAAGAATTTCTTCCAAACTACCGAACAGATTTGAACGAAATTTTGAATATACATTCCTAACTACCAAATGGTGTTTTTTAGATAAAAAAATGTAATTTTACCGTCGTTTGCGAGATTTTTTTCATTTTACCGTCATTCTTGATTTCACACTTCCTTATTCGCTTTCGTTCGCAAGTTATACAGATATAGGAGAAACGATCGGCTTTTCTAACGGCTGGTTTAACCAAGAGCCGTGTACTCACACGGCTCTTGGTTAAACCGGCAAGAGCCATACTCACAAACGAAGGCAAAACGAAAAAATTGTAACGAGCTAAATATCACCGTTGCTGAGGTTATGTATTAAAATACTAAATTTCGTTCAAATCTGTTCGGTAGTTTGCAAGAAATTTCTTGATTACTGCGAATTTAAGCACGTATTGCTGTTTAAATCACGAATGAAACTCGTGAACGAAGGCACAATCGAAAAAATTTTTACGAGCTAAATATCACCGTTCGGTAGTTAGGACTGTAAATTCAAAATTTCGTTCGAATCTGTTCAGTAATTTGGAAGAAATTCCTTGATCACTGTGAATTCGACCCGTATTGCCATATAACTATAAGTATGGCAAAAACAATTGAAGGCAAAATCCAAAAATTTTTCACGAGCTTTACATTACCGTTTGGTCCTAATGAATACGTGTACGGTACCAAGTTTCATCGAGTTAAGTTTATTATTTTGAGAGGTATTCCTAGATCATATTGAATTTGGAAATTGGCCGTGAGGCCGGCCGCGAGTCCGGCCGTTAATTTGTCGGAGACATAAACCCAGGAGAGGTTAAAAAAATATAACTCAGTACTCACTGCAGTGCGTGACAGAGAGCGCATTTACTCGTCGACGAAAACGTGAAGTCACGGACGGACATACGGTGAACAGACGGACAGACAGACGGACGGACATGGCGAGCACAATAGTGCATTTTTTCCATAAATGAGTAAATGCGCTAAAAACAGATCTGGGTGAAAAAACCATCGCTGTGAGTCATGTGCTGCACGTGTTGTGTACAAATCGTCAAACAAACGTTCGAACTTCTGAATTCGACTTTGGACTGCCGCCCCCCGATCGCCCCCCAAACGCCCTCTTTTTCTTCATCGCCCCCCAAAATCTTTCCATCGCCCCTAGGGGGGGCGATATCGCCCACTTTGGGAACCACTGAACTAGATCCTATAAATGATGTCTGAACTCTTCAAAGAAACCTATTCATTATGATTACCTGATAAACTTTTTTGCTTTCGTGAGAAAATACCTGCACGGAAAAGACTTATCTTCCGTAACTTGAGACTTTTTCCCATGCAGAATTAGGATCCAAGCATAGGAAAATTTGCTCTGACAGATCAGGTTTTAATTTCGATGAATAACCGCATAACAGCATCTTTTTGCATATCAAAGTGCCTTTGTTTATTTTGGTATAGCGGCTTGGAAGACTGAGCTTAAAATGAACGTGACTTGACAGGAAACGAAAGAGAGATCTTTCAGATGTTGAGAAAATTTTTTAATAGTTTTGGGACTCCTGAAATGTTACTCATATAAAGGACAACGTCATTGATAAGAATACATTTTCTTTCAGAAATATTGAAACCCATGAATGGTAAACTTCATTTTAAAGACAAACTTAAAATATAAAATATCACACAATGATTTTCATTAAGCAGTCCCAGGTATTTCTGAATAATCAAGGTAATTGTACCTTAGTAAGGCAAGGTCTCTCCGGCATAAATTTCAAAATAATAATGGAAGATCTTTATTTGTTCTTTTCCTTTATGAATATTTACTGTTACATGAACAAAATTTATTTAAATTAGGAGCATTCCTCCATTGTATTTGCTGATAAATGGAGAAATTCAGTCGCTTGCTGGCACCATCATTTCTGTTTGCAAATCTTAACCGTAATTTAAAGGCAAACATTCTCAGTAATTCTGCCTTACAGGAGGTGCTGCTGCTGCGTTAACCTCCCTTCTGAAAATTAAGGTCGAGTCATCGTCGGCCAAACTCCGGCTACTGGATTCCTGGCCAAGATTTAAAGAAAAGGTCGAACTCATATGAAGATTTGGACTAATGGTGTTCTAAAAAGTCCTCCGTAAAGTTTTATTAAGTATTTTGTGGTTCATTAAAATTTTTATAACGCGCTTGTGGACCCAAAATACATTAATTTAATAAATAGCTCGCCTGAATTAAGTCCCTTAGATTCTATGCTGTTCCAAAAGTTAATATGTCAGTATAAAAATGTTATTAAAACAGCCACGTTTCGTCGGTTCAGTTTGAACGCAATCTAAGATGGCGAATTGCATCACGCGCTGCCGTGGCAACGAGGCAAGTAAGGCAATAAAAAGAATGAGGCAGTTGCGTCTGAGTGAAATACTGTGATGACATTTTTTCTCAGAACTATTATGAAGAAGGCTGCCTTCATAATAGTTAGTTTAGTTAGTAGTAGGTAGTTAAGTAGTTTGTAGTCAATCTTTTACTTTCATATCATTCAGCGAATTGAGAACGTTAGTTAAGATTGTTTGG